TTTCACTTTCGACATGCAGTTTCGTTACTCCACGATTATTCGGCGTCGCATTGCACAAAGTAAACAAGTCGCATCAAAATTTCTCGCCCACGTCTGAGATTCCTCTCCGTTCTTCTCACTCCTCCCAGTCAGGAAAACCGGCAACGCTTCTAACTGCAGGACATCCTGGCTGCGTGCGATACCGCAGGTCGAATATCTAAATAGCGAATGTGTATGTCCTGTGCCCACGCTCGTGAAATTCTATCTCGTTAATTGGCGCGAAATCTAAGCGTGTGCGAACGAGAAGGAAAAAAAAAAAGAGAGGAAGAAACGTCTCGTCCTGCGTTTCGATACTAACGACGGTGCATTTGCAATTAGATACGATGCACGCCGCTTCTGAGAAATGACATACCGCACCTGAGAACTCCCGCCTTAATGACGACTAACGACGGCCGACAGTTTACTGAATATTTTTCTATCCTCGCGATCTTACCGATGATGCTCGCGGGAGATAAAAATAGCGAATAGTGGAAACGCCTTCCGGATTATATCATAACTGTATTTTCCTCTTTTTTTTTATAGTTTCTTTGATAAGTCTCTTTTGTGATTACGCAAAGCTATAAAATATTATTCTATTGCTAAGAAAAGTTACTCAATTATTCGACACTTTCTTTCTTTTAAATAACGGTTATCTTTAACAAGGAATATTTTGTGATAATAATCTTAAAATATACTTATTACAAATTTAAAAAAATTCATTATGTATTCAATACAAGAATTTATTTTCTTTTGAAGGATATTATAAAATTAATCGAAGATGGGACTTCATATAAAATATAAAGAGTAAATCGAATTTGTTTTATATTTAATAATCTTAATTGAAGTATTAAATTTATAGGATTCAGAATATTTGAATAAATTTGATGCTTTTTTTAAATAAATGATAGATTTGCGGATATACAAACTTTTGAAACAATTATTACTTGCGTATAATATGCATTTTTTTGTGTGTGTCTACAGAATTTACAGTTTAATACATGACAGCAGATGTCCGGTCGGTCTGTAAATTGACCGTTCGTCGAAGATAAAACGTAAATGTTAGTGAACCCAAAAAAAAGAAAGAACAAATTCCAAAGACAGACAAAAGCAGCTTCGGGCTTGCACCGATTCGTTGAAAAACGCAATGCTTGAGAAGTGATTAATCTTCTTCGTTCTGACTTCTATACCTGAAGTATTGTACGTGCCTTTGAGAAAGTGAAAGATGGCTAAGACGTGCTTGGAACACCCTGTATAGCTAACAAGTCTAGGATAGCCTGCGGTTTAAAACGGCAGAAACCTTGTTGCACTTTGAGATTTCGCGTCGCGTCTGTGTTAGCGCTCTTTCTCTCTCTCTTTCTCTCCCACATCACCCTCCCTCTCTTCGGAAATCGCGATGCTCGCTTTGGAAGACCCTGAACTACGCTGAACGCTGAGGCAAGGAGTATGGAAGCTAGAAGAATAACAGGAGCAAGCGTATAAGGCGTCGTCTGATGCGATGCATGATGCAGAAGGACGGCATTACGAACGAGAGGAAGCAGGAAAGAGCGAGAGAAGGAAAGGGAGAGTGAAGGACAAGAAGAATGAGAGAGCAAAAGAACGAGAGGGAGAGAGAGAAGCGATGAGATGGAGGGAGAAGAACACATTAGCAGTGTGGCTCGTCCTTGGACTTATATAACGAGGAAGAAACCAACAGGGAGAGGAGAAAGAAAGAAAGAGAGAGGAGGCTCGCGAAAGAGAACAAAATGCTGCGTGGATGGTGTACTGCGGATTAAAAATGAAGGATAAAGGGCGACGTTGGTGAAACGTGTAGCCTGCAATCCTATCCAGGACAAAGAAATCCCGGAATTTTATGGGTCCTCTTAGAACGGCTGGCAGGTCAGAAAACTCAGATGCACTTTTGCTTACGTCCGCCTTTTCCGCTTTCCTGCCGTCCCTTTTTCTTTTCCTGGACCGTATTTTCGTTTCAATCTCAGAAACCATTGCTTTTCCACAAATTCTCTTTATCGACACGAATATCCATACAGAATTCTTTTTCAAATTCCGAACCTCTACGTCTGTGTCTCTTCCCACTTTTGTATATCTCGACAGATATATGAAATATCTCTGGTACTCCTCGGCAAACGTTTAGCAAATGCATTCTTTTGCGAATTTAAAAGCGACGTACCTTACCTTTTGTTTCCTCTTTTCCTATTTTTCCGACAGATTTCGGTCGTGTATTAAAATTCAAGAATGTAAAGTACGAACGAATGTCTCAACTGATCGCGGATTATCCCATAAGACGGACCGCCGCGCTCGAGCGCGACGTCTTGAAAAGCGAGAGGAAAGTAACGAGGCGACGAGGTATGCGAAGAAAAGAGCAGCGAGAAGAGAGAACGAGGCGGAGGAGTCGTGGCCGTGATCTCGCGGGGACCGGAATGAATGCAGAAAGGTCATCGGTTGGGTCGCACGCCACATCCACTGCGCCAAACTTAGAAACGAGACGCTCCCGCGAACGCAATTTTACTTCGCGCGTATTCACGATCTCATCGCGCTTCCTTTCTCTCTCGCCCATCTAAAGATCGATAATAATTGCACTGTTCAAAATCCAAATTGGGATCACACCGAGAAAAAGGTGTTTGATATTTGTGACTACGCTGGAAAAATGTACTAAATCATTTGTCTGAATAATATTTGCTAAATATGAAGATATATATATTTATAGATATATTTATTTTATTATAGATATATTTATTTGATAAAAACCATTAATTTGATTAAAATATCACATTTATAGAGTAAATATTTATTTATTAATTGTGATATTATTTACTAAAATTTACTTAGTATTTTTCTCAGTGTTTAATTTGCACGATAAAATAATTATAGTTAGGAGCTCCATTTTTATAGTTAATATTAATTTTATAGTTAATATTTTATAGTTAATATTATAATGTTACTGTTACTGCTATAACGTTAGTAATAATAATTATATTTATAGTCCTATCGAAAACATTTAATTAGTACCGAACTATAAATTACACTTAAATTATTAATTGTAACTATTTTTTTCTCCAAGTGCAAGTGTTTTGCAAAATAAAAAAAATATAGAAAGCCAAAAAGAATTGCACTGAAAAAAAGAAATTGTTTGTTTGATTAATTTAGTCGTCTTTATTTCTTTCATTTGGAAAATGTACATATTTATTTAAAATCAAGTGCAAGTGTTCGACTTAAATATACATACATTTTTCATCGAAAGAAATAAACTAAATTAATTTAAAATTTATTAACAATTTCTTTTCTTAATATAAACTAATCGTATCTTTTAATACTAAAACTTAATATTAAAACAAATTTAATATTAAACTGACAATTTACACAGTTGAGTTTAATCGAGCTTTCAAGAGACTTGTTTATCATTAACGTGAATCTGTATGATGTTAAATTCGTCGCGCTGAAACCATCGACGTAAATTAACGGGATTAATGAGCAATTTGAGCAATGTGTATGCGAGATGTATAATCGGAATGGCATAATAGATCAATCGTACAAAAGTATGATGCGAGTGTGTCGCGATAAAATGGTTCGGATTGACTGGTGATCAATTTCGCGTAACGAGATATCAAACTCGTCGAATCGTTTAATTCGACAGTCGACTGCGCTAATAATCGTCGATTGTTAAATCGCCGAAATATCAAGTTAACTCTGTAAATTGTTCAGTTGACTCCACGTTTGCCCTCAAATGGATCGATCAAAACATGATTTTGTTTGTCCAATTTTATTTTTTAGTGGCAATTTATCTTGAATTCTACAAGTTTCTTTTATATTTCACGCAAAATAATCTGACGATTAAACTTTCAAAGCATAATTCAGCCTATAATAATAATATTCAATTACAAAACAAACAAGAATTTAAAGAACAATCTACAACATATATGAGTTTATCTTAATTTATCAATTTTGTTTCTCTAAACAGTTTTATTTTTTGTGACGATTTATCTTGAATTCTACAAGTTCCTTTTATATTTCACGCAAAATAATCTGACGATTAAACTTTCAAAACATAATTCAGCCTGTAATAATAATATTCAAATACAAAACAAACAAGAATTTAAAGAGCAATTTACAACATATATGAGTTTATTTTAATTTATCAGTTTTGTTTCTCTAAATCTAAATGGTTTTATTTTTTAGCACCGATTTACCTTGAATTCTACAGTTCCTTTCAATGAAAAATGATTGTAAGTCCGATTCAATTTCCGAAATACTTTGCTTCGCAATAATAATAATAATATATTAGTAATATAATAGTAATACATTATTCAAACGCAGAATAAATAAAAATTCGCAGTAACCTGCCTCTCAATTCACTCAATCATACGCAGAGGGATTTCAAAGTACCCAAGGCAAAGGCGGAGGACAAAAGTTTTAACTTTGTAGTCATTTTTCCCCACGACAAGTTGCCGTATCGAGATCGACAAAATTTTCCCCGCTTCGATTCATGATCGAAGGGACTGCGGTGCGCACCGGGGGAGGGTTGAACGGCGACGACGCGGGAGGGTTAATTCGCGATGACTTGAGGTAGGGCGCGCACGAGCGGACGGCAGGTGTCGCCACGTCGCGACGCGAAGCGACGCGACGTGACGGGGCGAGACGGGGTGACGGTAGAATTGAGAGGCATCGAGAGGTACGGCGAGGAAGGGTGAAAGAGAGAGAGAGAGAGAGAGAAAGAGAGAGGGGGAGTTCGGTCAGGCGATAATAATTCTCACGTGTATGCGGCCCGTGCACGCCGTTGTCAAACGACACCGTGACTCCGATTCGCCGCGCGTGGTGTACCCGTGTACCCTCCGCGCCGCGCCAGGCCATCCCGATGTAGGTTAAAGACACGCAGTTACGGCCGTGGCGTTGCGCAACGCGGAACGCCCGGTGCCAGTCGCACTCTCACAGGATTACGGGCTCACTGAGGCGCGCGCGTGGGGAAAACGTCGCCGTGTCGCTTTCTCGGCTATACGCGAGTCATAACGGCGAAGAGGAGAGACCGCCGGAGAGATCGCCGACGGAGGAATCCGCGCGGGCGGATCGCCGTCTCGGATTTCTTCGTTCGGATGGCGAACTTCGGCGGCGATAGTTCCACCACGTGCCCGTGAGCGATCCGCAGGATGATGCCCTGGAGGCATAACGCGCGCGCACACTGTCCTCTCTCTCTTTCTCTCTCTCTTTCTCTCTCTGTCTTCCCGTCCTCGTCCGAGGCGCGAGAGCGAGACGGTGAGAACGCGGGGGAGGCGAGGAGCGCGCGCGCGAGAGAGAGAGAGAGAGAGAGAGGAAAGAGGCGGAGAAGAAAGAGAAGGAGGACGACGCGGTGATACAGTCGCGGCCAAAAGTGTGCGGCGTGACATAGATTCGATCGAGCGACGGCGATTTTCGCCGGAGAGCCCAAGCGATCGACGGACGAACCGCCGCGACCTCGAGTCCCGACGGGTCGACCGTCAACCACCGTCAACCGGCGGGTAGAACACGTTCGTCGACCGGGCGTATAGAAACGTCGGATACGCGGCCAGCCCTCCGGCGGCGAATGCGGTCACTGAACTAGTTCCGTTTCGACCCTGACACTGCCATTGCCCCCCCGGGGGCATCGCACGATTCGTTTGTCAGATGCCACAATATTGCTGCCGTTTCACACACGTTCGGTGTTATCCTCACGCGGACTTACCCCTGTCGGAGGACTCCATCGTCGATTCCGCGGACCCTGCGCTGCTGGGGGCTGCGAGGGGGGGACCTTCCTGGGACACGGGTTGTACGCGCGGCCGAGGAACTCGCGCTTTCCACGGCGCACGTGGAGATAGTCCCGCTCGTGGTTCACGGCGGCTGGCACGCTCGGCGCACGGCTCGAAAATTTCTCACCACGGTATAAACATGGCCGGCCCGCGCACGGCCGCACGGCTCCCTGGCCTGTCACAATCCGCGATGGTAGAGGGGGGGTCGTTGAACCTTATCCGCGGATACGAGACGGCGTCGCGGAAGGGCACCGGCCGCGCCAACTTTTTTTCCGGGGCCTCCCGGGGAAAAACGGTGTAGCACCGTGGGCTACGGTGGGCGCGACCTAAAAATAGATCACCAATTCGGCGGATTGTTTTGACTAATAATGCGCTTCGCAACCTACTCGCTGGTGGCGCCACTGCGCGGCGATGGCCCACCGGCGTGCGCGGTGCGCGCCACCGCAACTCTGGTCTCCGGTTTCCGACCTAACATGCGTGTGTATACACATAGGCATACATACAGGCGCGTGCACATGATCGCTGTCAAACGCTGTCAAACGCTCAGATAAAAGAAACGATAAAAGTTAAACGGTTTTCTTCGCGATAATCAGTACGATTACGATTGCATCCACGTTACCATGTCCGGGAGCGACGTAAAGCAAGCTCTCCGAAAGCTGGACTTCCCTTACTGTGCCAGGGAAGCTCTATGTAGAATCGGTATGAACTGTATAGGTTATCTTGATGCCGCTATGATTTGTTTATTTTAGCTGTGCTCTTTATTCATCAAAGATCAAATTTGTATAAATCTATATTTCAATAGTTTAATATTATACAATTAAAATACCAGATCTACATTACTACAGGGTGACAAAAAGTTTTGTTTATCAAATCATTAATGTTTATTTCTAAAACAAATTCTAGAGTATTATTATGGTCTTATGGTCTTAATAAATATCAAAAATAATAATTAACATCCAAATGACTACTTTTAACTTTGATATAAAGCGTTTTAAAAATGCATCAATGATCGTTGCATATCTTTTCATGAATAAATTATCTCATGCAGTCAATAAAGCAATCTTGAGTTTTCCGATCATTAAAAATCTTTTGGTGCAGTCTTTTTGATATTTAATAAGATGTAATTAATGCATACATATTTCAGTTATTTTTTTTTAATCGACTATCCAGATAGCAGGCTGTTATTTGATATCAAAACGAAGATATCAATTTAGCAGATATCATTTTAACATCAATTTGCTGCTTTGATACATGATTTGATAAACATACAAACTTTATGGTTAAACCTTTTTATCATCCTATATTTTAATATTAAAATTTTTTTTCTTTCCCCAAATATACATATATATGTATCACATTAAATTTTGTTTGTTATTTGTTCAAGAGGTGCTTTGCTGCAGGCCTGGCAAGCAAGTAGACTTGCAAATGGATTTAATATCAGAGTTTGTATTCGGAGAGATAGAAAAGCGAAAGAAACGTAGCACAACACAGGCAATACAGGAGTTGCAGCTGATAGAAATCATGAGTGACTTTTTCCAAAGTCCAGGTGGCAGTCCTGCAGTACGCAATGCTCTCTTCTTATCGCTCTTTCCAGCAGACAGTCCTAGATATAAGATTCTAGGTAACCTGGTATCGTTGGCAATCGCTACACAAAACAAAGCAGTTCTAAATGCAGCTGGCATTTGGATGCAGCAGTTGGGCTCTACCTCGCCGCAGAGCGTAGGACTGGCGAGGCACGTGCTCAATGATTATTTCGTGCTTACTCCAAGATCCATCGACAAGCTGAAGCAGCTGCCAGTGCTCACTCCGCATTTCACTGCCAATCTGCTAACGGCGATAGGTGAAGTTTACGAGGACAAAGATCCACCTACCGAGCTACTCAGATTGGTAGGCGAATGGATTGACGAAAATCCGAGTTTATTGTTGACGCCTCTGACGGATAATCCGGCATTGCCTACTGGTGGAATTCCGATGACTCCAATAACACCTATAGCGGGCCTATTCAGGTCATTTCCTTCATAACTTCACATAGCGATGACAAACAAGTGTCTAATGTGTCGAATTATTTTTTTTCTGCCTACAGATGGTGTATATTGAGTCCTCTGCGTGATACTACGAACAACATAGAGACTCAAGAGGAGTCGCGAAAATTTTATTCAAAAGTTCAACAGTTACTCATGGACTCAGTACTACGACTGAATAACAGTGGTAGCAATAAGCATGCGATTTCAGCGCAACATTTGGCCTCTACTACTCGTTTATTGACAATGAATCTGCAGAATCGGCCGAACGTCGACACAGTCTTGCGTGACCTAGCTATGGAACGACTCGCACAAGCAGTCAGCGCAGCCATGTCTGCGAACTGCATTTATGGAAATAAACGTATGTTCATGCTTCTAATACATATATATGTAATACATTATATATATATATATA